TCACCAACAAAGACAGTGATTGAAAAAGAACCCCAAGTAAGGTAGTTGGCTACTTCTGTATAATTTGTTCCCATCAGGAAATGACACACTAGCAAATCGCCTTATAATTTAGCAGCGTGAAAGCTTCCTTATAAATAGGAGTTCAAACTCATTACCTGAGCAGTTAATACCTGACTCTTTAAATAAAATAGAAATGACACGCTATCTGGCCTAGACTCTGTAAAGCTGCAACTAATGCATACAATGGCACTCTCTCGTGCCCTTTGACTCGTAAAGCTCCTCATTTTATACGCACCCTGCCCTCGCTTGCCTATCCCGCCCAAAATATAATTCGGAAACTTGGTTCTCCCAAATATTTTTACAAAATTTATGAGACAGAGGAACCGATGATCATCGCTTTCCTGGAGTACCCGCAATTCAAGACCGAGAATTTGGACTCAAATTGAACAACAATGAGTAGGGGGAAGGAAGGTAAGAAAAGCATACCAGAAAGCAGTGTAACCATAGAATTCAACATGGAAGCACAGAAAGAGAAGCGAAGCAGTGGAGAAACCGGTCTGGCCCAATCGCAAAGTGAAGCTTGAGCTAGTGCCAAACACTCCCGGCGGTTCCATTGTTGCGAGCAAGTTCTTGTCATGGTAATTTAATCAAACAGATAGTGGGTGTTGAGGAAAGTGAAAAGGGAAAAAGAAAATCAAAGAAAGCTGGGAGTATGAAATTCTAGCAACATATGGCAGCAGGAAAATAGCATATCCTTCTGCTTTTGCAGTGAATTGCAATGCAAAAAGCGTGGAATCGGATAGAGACTCTTCTCATCGTTTGGATTTCTTACACGTAGAATGCGTTTTGCTCGGTTGGCTTCTGATACACACCACGTTTCGTGCAAAAAACCAAAACAGCTTATACTTTTCGTGCCATTCATCATTAGCGTGACTACCAAACATTCCTCCCCATAAGTAGTTTAAAGTCCATATTTTTGGACTTCCAAATTCTAAACTTATTTATGTAATTAAAATACAGTTTCACCTCACTTTTGTTGTTCGACTTGTTTGACCTATATTGCATATTCGTAGATATATCCAAATTGATTAATTTGTCTGTTAATTAAGTAAATTCCTTGTAAAATCCTTTCACTAATTTTGATTTATTTCTTTTGTTATAAGGTTCCTAAGAATATTTGATACATGTCTATTTTCTTTCAGAAAGCTAATAGACGGGACAAGTATTCTGTGTTCTTGATAACAAACACTTGCTCATTTTTATGCAAGTTCAATATAGGATGCAGTTTGAATCTAATTTAACAAAATGATTTGAATTTTGATTCGGTTTTTAAATTTGTTACATTATATAGAGTTGGTAATTTAGATAATTTAATTATTAAATAGTTCCCCGTTAAACCGCTTGACTCTCCTACCAAACATTCCTTAACACTATAAACGCCATATTACAAATTTTAAGGGCATAAATTTCACAACAAATTGAATCAATTTGTGCTGACCAGTTTTCCTTGCTTGTTTTTATTTCCTTTTCCAATCTTTTGATGTGTTCAAGTAAACCTTGAATGGTTCTTAAATTTCTTAAATAAAATAATACAAATTTATTTTATATTTGTATCATTCAATATAAAAACGTCATCAAATTTCATACTTCAATTAAAATTGTCAGAAAATTAAACGAAAATTATAGAAATTAAAGGATGGATTTGTTTAAGGTTATGCGCAGAGAAACTGACCGGATAGTAATACTAACAATAACATCCGTGGCTGGGCCCATGTAAAGGACAAACCATCTTACAATTGGGGTAAACAAGAACATGGAATGTTACAAAAAATAGCCAGGCCACCGCCAATTAAAACTACATTTTATTATAGTTTGAAGTCAACATTATAATATACAAACATAGTAATAAAAATATTACCCTTTGGGCTCTAGGATGGTGCAGAAGCGAATATGCAACCCTGGCTAGTTACAACAAAATCTGAAGCCCCATATTACTCAGATCAGAAGAAGAAGAAGAAGGTCTCTGAATTAATCAAGCTGAGCATACCAGACGCCCTGGATCTTCACATCCTTCGGAGCTTTAGCTCCCAAATCAGTATCAGATGGCTGAAGGCTCTCAAACACCCCAATCACTTCTCCAGTTTCAGGCTTGCTCTTCGTCACACTCAAAGTTATCTTCCCTTTCGATGACTGAGCACTCTTATTGTTCTCCTTCGCAAGTTCTTCCTCGTCTCCTCTTCCTCCGGCCGGCAATGCCACCGCATTATCATAACCCGTGGAAGCACCCCTTCCCTTGGGGTCCAAAAACGATGATCCCCGGTACGACGGCACCAGAAATTCTCCGCTGAAGCTGTCTGGTTTTCCAGAAGCCACCAGCTGTTTGATGGTGAAGAGGAAAGGCACGCGCTCGCCTCCGGGAAGCTGGACCGTGACGGCGGCATAGTCGATGCCGTCTTTCTCCTCGAACTTGACGGAGCCATCTTCAGAAACTTGGAAGGGGCCTTCGATCTCGTCGAGAGTGTAGGTGAGGCGGGTCATGAGCTTGGTGTTTTGGAACTCAGGCGGGGCGTTCTTGCTGACACCCTCGGCTTTCACAGTGAAAGAGGTGGGCTCAAGGCAGAGCTTCTTGGCGTTGTATTTTCCAGGCTTGAAGGCGAATGAGTCAACTCCGCCATCGATGGTCGGACACTGGTTAGCCGTTCCTGTTCCTTTGACTTCCAAGTATGTCTTGCTCTGGATTTCGTCGTAGGTCAGGCGTTTTGGGGCACCCTCGGCACTTGCCCCCTGACAAAGAATGTGTTAAAGCATCAAATATCGGCAACTGTTCCCAGAATTACAAAAAAGAAAGAATGAATGAAGGAATGAAAAAGAATGAAACATACAGAGACGAGGAGAGCAGAGGAGGCGAGGGCGAAGCCTGCAATTTTGGTGGCGTCGGCACACTTGTGAGCGAGGTCCTTGAGATGAGGGTGAAGAGAGCAAGTGAGCCTCGATGCAGAAGGTTGCAAGCCGAAGGCCTTGGAAATGGAGTGGGAAGATTTGAGCTGCAAGGGCATGGCCGTGAGGGTGGCGGCTGCTTGCAGTGAGGCGGCCATTGTCGTTTCCACAATTGCTCTCTCTGTGTCTCTGTAAGAGAGAGTGATTTTGTGTTGGGGAAGAAGAGGATCTGGAGAGTTGTGTGGTGGATGGTATGAGTAAGATCACGGATAAGATAAGATGATATATGATTGGTCCACCGAACCTGGTGCCACTGCTTGCCACGTTGGAAGCTTCTCATTTGGGATCAAGATTCTTGCGGTCATAAAATAGGCCATCCAGGCGAATGAAATCTATGACGTGGCAATAAAATTAGAAATTAAAAATTAAATGTAAAAATTTTATTTGTTTCATAATTAGTGTCTTCGAAGTTCGAAGGGCACAAGCATAACAACTTGAGAAGTGGCTGCTAAAATGGTTTCGGGGTGCTTGCCAAAGAAGTTCGAGTTTGCAACGAATGATGATACTACCTCCGGTTCTTAATATAAGATCCTGTTTGATTTTTATTTTGATCTTAAATATTAGACCCCAATCTACTTTATCTCTTATATTTACTCAATTTGTTTTAAAATAATCCTTCTAATAATTATAGTTCTAATTAGTACATTTGATTAGCAAGGATATTTTAGGAAAAACAACACCTATTTAAGACAAATAACTAACTCAACTTACTTCTTTAATATTCTTAAATTAGTCAACTGACTCTTATAATTAGAATCGGAGGTAGTAATAGATTAATAGATCATCATTTGGAAATGGTTCTGCTTTCTAGGTTTCCATGTCCATGGCTAGCTCTTCGAATTTTTCGTAGTCTCCGACGACTTTGATTTTTTGGGTGCTCTAGATTCACAAATAGAGAGTCTCTTTCTTTGTTTTTCGCTCAGGCATCAATCGTTAAAAAAATACCATTATATGTTTTAGTGGTATTAAAGAAGGATAAAATTTTAAAAAGGAATTAAAATCTGAACTATTTTTATAATGAGTGTGTGACATAAAAATTCCTTAGGTATATTTAAAGCACAAGTAAATATAAGGATTTCGTTTACTTTTAACATATCCTACAATTTTCAAAACTCACTTTCATTCTTTTCTTTCTTTTTTGATACATAAGGAGCTTTTCTTTCATTTTACTTCCCATTCATTTCATTTCACTCTATTTTTAAGTTCCTAACCTCCTATTGAGGATTCCGGCTGGGGCCTTTGAACTAAAGCCCAAATCTAAATCATCTTATTTATTTTCAAGCACAGGTTGTCAGGTAGTCAGGTTCTAGGAAAATAAACTAAAAATTAAATTTCAATAGTTGAAGACTTGAATCTGAAACTTTGGTGTAGCCAGAGGTGTCAGGGTCAAGGAGACGGATTGTTCTGCGAGCATACACGTCTATGCAAGTGGGAAAAACTCAAAAACCTATTGACAAAGATTTCAAAATCCACACAGAAGAACATAGGCCACACTACTCAGTGCTCCACGAACAAGCAAACTGATTAGAATTTAATACAATTTGCCGTCATCATGCTTATCTGCCATTTACATCAAGACGTAAGAGAAGCTCAGCTGCATAAGTAATTATTTCCTCCAAATTAAGACTGCTTGTAATGGCGACTAAGACAAGCAAATCGAGCCACAGAAGATAATAAAAACAGATTCTTCCACCTGAAAATTGCTCCCGACAAATTTCGATGACATCGAATAATATGCATTCAGAATGAGCAGGAGGTATTGTATTCATCGTATGAATAATCATATGAACAATTTGTAAGTATCATCACAATGCCATGTATTCGAATCTGATAGTGGAATTCAAAACAAAATTAAAAAAAAAACACTAAATAACAAACATCAAATTTCCTCCACAAACAATTAAACAATGCAAATTCACCGGGAAAAAAGAAAAATTAAACAAACTACACATATAACAAAGCAGGCACACAGAAAACAAAAACATAACGATGAAAGAGAGGACTCCTCTCAGACAAATGCCTCGCTTGGTCGTCACTGAATGGAAAAGTGATCGGACTCGTCATCTTTCATTCATCATCACTGAGAAGAAATCCCGCAAATCTCACAATCCATCCATCAGAGATTTGCCATCAATTAAAAAAAAAAAAAAAGGATCATAACAAGAAATACAAGCAAAGGAAGGCAATTGAAACATGAAACAACCAGCAATCGAGAAACGCATGCAGAACCAAAGGCCCCACTCCCCCGAAAAGTACCCGTACCCTTCGAGAAATTGAATTCTCGATGTCGTACTTTTATACGCAACGGAGACATTCCCGGGCAGGTATTAGGGTTCATCCGCCTTTTCATCTTAGGGTTCAAGTTGTTTTTTTGGGGTCTCTTGTTGGACCGGGCCCAAGAGTCTTAATAATAAAATTGAACTTGCAAAGATGGATGATGGAAAGATGTACCTGGCACAAAAAAAAAAAAAAGGATGGAAAGATGCATTAATTATGAGATTGAGATTTGAATGGTTAAATTTCTTATTTTATAAATAAAACGTTAATTTTTTAAAATAAAAAATAAATAAAATTAAGTTACTAAATTTTAGTCATGATAATTTAAAACACTAATAAAATAAATACTTAATAACATTATTTTATACGAAATCTAAATAGTGCAAATTTTACTTGTAATAGTTGGGATGGGAAGTGCCAAAGGGGATGGAAGTTGCAGGGAAAGAGTAGAGAGACCCCTTTCCTGCATATGATGTCATCAAGCAGGCCATTTATAAATAAAAAAAAAAGTAATGTATGGTTGTATCTAATTTTCAGTTAGATTTGTGCAGATTTTTTTTCTTTTTATCACACCTGATTAACAATAAATGAAATTATAAAAACAAAAAAAGAAAATGCAATTATAAAAATTTAATTAAAAAATCAAATGAAACAAACTTGGAGATTAATTTTCTTTTTTAAGTCACTATAACAAAGCCAGACCAGAGAAAGGAAAAAATATCAAACTAGAGTCAGCATGTTTTGGCACCATTCCCCTTGGCAAGAGAAAAAATGATTCTACTGTCACTCAAGATGTTTTCTCTTCGCTTAGACAAGAGTAAGAGTGAGCAAAACCGAACCGTAATAGAAAACCGAACCGAACCTAATTCAATTTCGGTTTTTCAGTTCGGTTATTTCGGTTTTTTGGTTATATATTCGGTTTTTATTTTTTAAACAATTCAGTTTCGGTGTTCAGTTCGGTTAGCAGAAAAAAATTTCGGTTATAACCGAAATAAATATATCATATATTTATATTTAATAAATATTATTATAATAAATATATATGTGGGTATATGTGAACTTTTTACATATATTTATATTCAATAAATATGGTTATAATAAATCTTATTGAATCATGAAATATTTATTAATTAATAGTTGTAATTGTGTTTTATTATTATTTTTAATTTAAAATCATTTTTATATTTATATATTTTTAATCGGTTAACCGAATCGAAATTTTCGGTTAATTCGGTTTCGGTTAGTTCGGTTAATCGGTTTCGGTTTGGTTTTTAAAATTTACTCTATTCAGTTAGTTCGGTTATCACTGATAACCGAACCGAAAAACCAAATATTCACCCTTAGACAAGAGGGAAAGTTTCGATTGAAGAGATGAGATTGAAAATCTTCATAAGCCAATAAAAATGAATATTTTCTAAAGATAAAAAAGTAACTTATTGGGGAAAATGGGTGTAAAATACCTATTTGAAAATTTATTTGGGAATTGGTCCCTGCAAATGTGTCAGAGGCTGAGGTCCTTAAGGAAGATTAAATATTCAAATGAAATTACTATGTTGCCCTAAACTAAAATTTAAAAGAAAGACAACGTAGAAGAGGAAAAATTGGGCAAGCCGCATATGGATGAGCAAGGGATCAAGCGACTGCACTACCAAGTAGGGAAGTTCAATTACATTTAGAGGGATTTTTATTTACACATACAAATAATATGTTATAGTCAGTTGATGTTCATTTGCACCAACTTTCATATAAATATAATGGAAGATTAATTGCACTTAGAAAGATTTTCATTTGCACATACGGATGATATGTTACACTTGGTGGAAATTCGTTTGCGCCTAGGCTCATGTGAACAAAATGGAAGTTCAACTGCTCCTAGAGGGATTTTTATTTACACATATGGATGGAAGTTTAGTTGCACTTTGAGGGATTTTTATTTACACATACGGATGATATGTTACACTCGGTTGAAGTTTATTTGCACTTGGGCTCATGTGAACATAAAGGAAGTTCAGTTGTATTTAAAGGGATTTTTATTTTCACATACGAATAGTATGTTGCACTAAGTTGATGTTCATTAATCCAACTCTCATGTAAACATAATGAAAAATTAATTGCAGTTAGATGAATTTTTACTTGTATATGCGGATGACATGTTACACTTGGTGGAAGTTCGTTCGCACCTAGGCTCATGTGAACAAAATTGAAGTTCAATTGTACTAAGAGGATTTTCATTTGCACATACGAATGGTATGTCGCACTTAGTTGATGTTCATTTGCACCAACTCTCATGTAAACATAATAAAAGATTAATTGCACTTAGAGGGGTTTTTATTTGTATATATGAATGATATAATGTACTCGGTAGAAGTTCGTTCGCACCTGGGCTCATGTGAACAAAATGGAAGTTTAATTGCATTGAGAGGGATTTTCATTTGCATACACGAATGGTATGTTGCACTAGGTTGAAGTTTGTTTGCACTTGGGCTCATGTGAATATAATGAAAGTTCAATTGAACTTAGAAGGATTTTTATCTGCACATATAGATAGTATGTTGTACTCACTTAATGTTCATTTGCACCAACTCTCATGTAAACATAATGGAAGATTAATTGCACTTAGAAGAATCTTTATTTGTATATACGGATGATATGTTACACTCGGTGAAAGTTCATTCACATTTGGACTCATGTAAACAAAATGGAAGTTCAATTGCATTGAGATGGATTTTTATTTGCACATACGGATGGTATATTGCACTCGGTTTAAGTTTGTTTGCAGTTAGGCTCATGTGAACATAACAGAAGTTTAATTGTATTTAAAAGGGATTTTTATTTGCGGATACAGATGGTATGTTGCACTTGGTGAAACCTCATCTTTCTTTTTGAATCTTAGTTTAGGGCACTACAGTATTTTTATCTGAATATTTAGTCTTCCTTAAGGACCTCTGACACATTTGTAGGGACTAATTCCGAAATAAATTTTTAAATAGGTATTTTTCACCAATTTTTCCTAACTTATTTCACTTGAAAACGTTAACCGAAGTCAGGAAAATGTTACAATTGCAGGAGCAATGCTGTTATCATAGCCGGGTCGCACCAATATAAACGAAAAGTCGAAGAGTATTGGGTTGGGGCCTTGAACAAATTTAAAAAAAAAAAAAAAAAGAGAAACATGAGGAGTTAGGGGAGGTGCCCATGTGGGGGTATTGATTGAAAAGGTTCCTTATACATGACTCAGTCACATAATGATGATGGTTGAAAAATTACGGAACACGCAGCAAAATCATGGGTCTGATTGTGAATCCCCAACTCTCTAAAATAAATGAGATTATGATTAGCCTACAGGGAAAAGTGCACCAATTATGGCCCCATCCTCCAGCCTTTCTAGCTACTCCTCCTCCCAATCATCACCCCTTCCCCCTTCTTTGATGACCTTTCACCACAAGCAATCCCTATTCATTCTTCCTTCCCTTCTAGTATTTTCCGGCCCTGCCACCCCCAGCTACTGTTCCCAGCCTCGTATAATGCATCTTAATTAGTTAATTTTATTCCCCGTTACCAATAATCACTGACACCCCCTCTCATTTATTCCCCCATATTTCTCATGTCTTGCGCTCTGCACCCTTCACCTCAAGAGCCGCGTCTCCACTTAACCAATCACTAACTTCCACATCACCATCCTGCCAAACCAAAATCCTGTGGGGGGTGTGGGTTTTTTGCCCTTTTGGGGTTGTTATTAACAGTTCATGAACAGAATGCGGGATTAAAAAGATGATTCAGCTAACCAATCTCACGTGACGTTAAGCAGCAGGTTATTCATTATGGGCATGGGCATGGGGGGGTTGGTGTTGATGGGGTCGTCCCTTGCGTGTGTCAACCACTGCCTGTTCGCGGGAGTCACAAACCTGCGTTTTGAATTTGCACCCGAACTTTTTCCCCAGGGATGCCCTCCAGCCTCTGCCTCCTTGTGGGCCCGCCTTGTTGTCAATCTTCGCGATCACTTTCCTCATGGTGGAGCACTCCCGCTCCAGCTGATGCACCCGCGTCCTCATGCTATCCATGTCCAGCCGCAGCACCTGATTCTCTCTCTCCGCTACGCTCCACGTGCCGCTCCCCTCCTTCTCACGTGCTTCCTCTTCCATCCCGCCCCCAGATGGCCTCCCGCCGTCGATCGCCGCTTCCGCTGACATGAACGACCCCGCCACCGCGTGCCGGAGCTGAAGCTGCTCGAAGAACAGTACTTGGATCACTGCTCTCAATGGGAGCCTTTCGTTCTGCGCTGCGTGCGTGCACGCCTCTAGTGTTAGCTTCTGACAGTCCAGCAACCCGCAAATCCTTTCGCGTTCTGCTTCTGATGTCCGTGGGTGTGCCTGTAAGGAATAGAAGAGTGAATTCATGTGTCTTAAAGGTGTTTGCGAAAATGACAAGGAGAAAAAATCACATTACTAATTGTCGGTACTTGTTGCTACCTTGAGATAGATATCTATGGCACGGTAGAGACCATCGTCGAAGAGTCGGGCTTGTTCGGGAAGAGAGTGAGCGAAGTTGTAGAACCTTTCTGGTTTGAGATTTGCATCGGAAGCTATCTCGGAAAGATAGCCGTCGATTTGTTTACCCACAAACGTTAACGTCGGCGACCTGCCGTCAATTGTTGCGGCATCGTTTCTTTCTTCTAAACCCTCTAAGAAATGACCTAACATTCTCTCCACACAATCTACGTCGTATAGTGTTTCGTTCAAATGCGAGTAGTTGGGTATGAGAAGGTCGTCCAGCGTCGCTTCCTCTAGCTGTGAACCTATCTTCTTCTCCAATGTATCTCTGCAAACTTCGGATGCGTTCAATATATTGGCTGTTCGCAATAATCCGAACAGAAACCTCGTTGCTGCGGAGGACTTGGACCTACTCTTCAATGGAAGATTCAATATTATAGTCTCCAGCAACCCTTTCTGTTGAGCCTCTGAAACTGCCGTCGAAGATGAGGTTAAGGACTTCCGGCTCGACCTTGATACACCAGGAATGTGTTTCTTTGCGTAATACAGAAGACAACACTCTATTACCTCCGGTCTCGTATCCGTATTTTTCAGGGCCAGAATGAGTTGCTTGAAAACAGGAAAACTCAGGCGCGCCAGATCCTCAAGCCATGAGTCTCCTCTTGTAACGCCTCTGCTTACGCCTTTTCTCTTTCCACCAGTCCCAATCGCATTCCACAAGATCTGCTTCGAGTCAGAACCTCGAGTTGTTGCGTCGTTGGCTCCGGGATCACTCAGCGGCCAACCAATCAATGCCGGATCCGATGACGAGGCGCTGGCAACAACGGAATCTATACACATCTGCGTAATGCCTAATGTCTCCGCCAGAGGCATCAATCTCTCACAGGACTTGAGCGCTCTAATGGAGTCCTTGATGCTTTTGAGGACAAACTGAGAGAAAAACTTCTCGGTCTTGGAGATGAGGTTATCTTCAGAGTACTCTTCTGTCATCTCAAGAAACTCACCAGCGCAGCGGAGAGAGACCACATTGGAAGAGGATAAGTCGATTTTGACACCGTAGCAGAACTTGGCAGCTATCTCGAAGGTCTCGGAGCCGCCGGGAAAGTCTGCAAATGTTATATGACAGTGTTCTTCAGCAATTTCGTCGTCTTCCTCAATTTCCTCGGGGACAGATTGTGTTTCTGTGCCAGCAGGTTGGATTCTAGCAGCAGAGGAATGATTCGTTTCTTGCTCTGTAATCAGGTCGTGAATCTTTCGACTTTTTGACATCAGAGGGAACTGGAGTATATCACACAGGTGAGAAATTTCAGAGAATAGGGTACATATGATTGTTAGTCCTGGGGATGGGAACAAACCCATCTAATATAGGCTTACCTTGTGAAGATGGAAGGTCATGTCTTCCACTTCTACCACAATGTCGCTTGGCAATCCGGTGGTGCAGAACCTACACAGAGAAATCGTCACAAATTGCAATAGATAATGCAAAAGACAAGGGGTTAAAAGAGTAAGAGATTTATCTAACCATGCTTGTCCTTTGGTGCTGGGCTTTTCAGATGCTGTCATTTTCTCAGGAAAATCGTATTCTAGGAAAAGCTTGGTTGAGAGTAAAATTTTTAGAAGAAAGTTAGATGCATGAAGAACAAATACAAAAATAATTTCAGTTCAAGTGGAACGTGAAGACGGAGGTTCTGAGAACAACCAGAAGATAGAAGAGTAGTTCTGAACGATTTAAATCCAAAACTTTGATGAGGACTGAAAAGAATCAAAGAGGTCCCCCAAACTCGATATAAACAAATTGTGACTTTCTAAAGTTTATAATATTTGGAACCAGAACAGACAAAACTTCTGAGTTAAAAAAGAAAGAAAGAAAAAAAAGAAGGCTACTACTATAAATCCTTAGAGCCAGGTAAAGATCTTGAAGGCTGGCCCTATGAGGCAGGGATGTTCAGGTGTGGAAAGGTGTCTAAATTTCTCTGAGCCCTCAAACAAATTAAAAGAAAATCTAAATTAGTAAAGAGAGCGATCTCCTCATAAATGCTTCCATAGCTACCCTCTCGTCCTTCAATCCTTGGAATTTATGACTGTCTTTAATGAGCGACAACTATTTCAAGGTCCATTACTGTTATCACACTTTCAAAATGAATCTGAAAAATGACATTTTCAAGTTTTCAAACTGAGATGCCAATTGAGGGAAAGCAGAGAAAGCAGGGAGCAGGCTTTTAGTTCACTCCAAATTTCATTTCATACAAAAGTTCTGATTTTTTAACGAACTCCTTATAAAAATTAACTCAATCATCGGACATCTTTGAATTGAGGGGAATGAAACTTTAACAAGAGATTGAAATCAGATTCAAATGTGACACTTAGGCGGTGCGATTAAATTTAAAAAATTTACCTTTATCGGGACAATAAATTACTAATATAATTCTTGATTTGATAATAAATATTCATGTAACTAGATCTCACTGCTACTGCTGGTATGCATGGCTATGGTTTTCGGACATTCTCGAACGAAAAGACGATGCGAAGACGGACAACAAACAACCAAAGCTTTTCGAAGTCGGAGCCCATAACTGTCGGAGATTGTTAGTAGGGACACTTTTTCAAAAAATAATAATTATGCGGCAATGTTACTTGTTTTTCCCATGCATTTTTTTAATATTTTTCTTACAATGTATTTCTTTCACACTTGCCCTCTTATAAATAAAAGGGAAATTTCGTTCAAGGGCCGCAGTACAGAATTAATTTCAAAAAGTCTCCAAAACTTTCTGAAATTTCACTACAGGACCAAGGGGCAAACTGATATTAATTCCACAAAGAAAATGACCCTATTGCCCCCATGTGAACAAGTATGGGAGAACGCATTTGCAAGTGAGGTTAGATAATTTACAACATGCATAGATATATTTACAATTAAAATTAGTCCATTTACATATTACCTTCTTCTTCACCTGAAGAATGTGTCTGAGTGAACAAGTGTGGGATAGCCCATTTGCAAGTGGAACTAGACAATTTGCAACATACATATATTTATTTATAACTGGAATTAGTCCATTTACATGTCACTTCTTTCACTTGAAAAAGGTCTCCATGAGTGAACAAGTGTGGGAGCGCCCATTTGCAAGTGGGATTAGTCAATTTGCAACATACATACATTTATTTACAATTATAATTAGTCCATTTACATATCACCTCATTCACCTGAAAAATGTGCCTGTGAGTGAATAAGTGTGAGAGAGCCCATTTGCAAGTGGGACTTGTCAATTTGCAACATACATACCTTTATTTACAACTGAAATTAGTCCATTTACATGTCACCCTGCAATAAGTATTATGAGGGGCAATAGCGTCATTTTCTTTGTGGAATTAATATCAGTTTGCCCCCTTGGTCCTGCAGTGAAGTTTCAGAAAGTTTTGGGGGCTCTTTGAAATTAATTGTCTTCTATGATCCTACAGTGAAATTTTCCCTAAATAAAAACATATTTAGAAAAAAAGTACTACATTTCTTATATACTACCTTCTGTTCTTAATATAAGAGTTACTTAACTAATTTAAATAGATTAAGAAAGTTTGTTAATTATTTGTAATAAATAGATGTTATATTTATCAAAATAACTTTACTAATCATGTGTATTATCTATAATTACCATTTAATGGAATTTTTAACATTTACATATACTACAAGAACTAATTTGAAAAAAATGGTTAAATATAAGAGACAAAGAGGATTGGAATCATATAAGTAGGACCAAATTTTATGTTAAACTGACTCTTATATTAAGGACCGGAGGTGATATTTATTACTTTTAATTAATTTTAGCATATTTTTTAAAGAGTTGATATAATTTTTTTCCCTCAAATTTCTTTTTATTTAAAGCATTGGTTCTTATATTTAACAAAATCTAGACTATTTTTACCTTTTGAAGGATCAAAACCTATAATTTTAAACTTAAAAGACTAAAATCAAGACAAGAACAAATTTAAAGAACCAAACATTATATTAATCCCTTTTAAAATTATATTAGGATCTTATAAGAGGGAAAAGGAGGAGTAACTTTTTGTTGTAAGGATCCACGCCTGACCTAAAATGTGGATCATCCAAAGCATATTATTGTACTTCTATTCAAATTAGGATTTGAATCAAACTTCTCATTCAATAATTAAGCAATCTTCTATAACCAATGAAATTTTTGGACATAATTTTTAAGTTCTAAAAACATTAACTGATTTTGGCTTAATTTCTTAACACACAACACATACACATATAAATATAAAGTAATAGATCTTTATAATAAGCACTGTAAGAAGGATAGAATTTAAAACAATATTGTGGCTGTTATTTATATTTCATGGAATGCATAGACCCACACCTTGGCGTCTGAAGTTGAACTTCCCTTATTGTCGCTTTGGGGTTACTCCAAAAATTAACCGAATTAATGCAATATAGTCAAAACTCGGTCGTTTCATTTCACTTTGAGGAGCCGAAAATGAAATTAAACCCTAGTAAATGAATGCAGTAACCTAGACTATAAAAAGAGATTTTTGATTTTGAAAAGCTGTTAATTAAATACTACGAATCAAATTGAAATTAAAATACTTTTTTTTTGTTTTTTTATAAAAGTGATTAGGATGAATGAGATTAAGAAATGAAAATGAGACACACGAATAACACTGATGGTAATCAATCCTCTAATTCAACAATGTAGGCAATCATCACTCTAAAAGATGTGGGAGTTAAAACAATGAATTAAGAATTATAATTAAGCTTTTAATCCAACAACCGAGCCACCTCGAGTTGTCACAAAATATTTTCCTAAAATCCCAACTTACTAACTGCAACCAGAATAGTAAAATGGTTAAGGATGCTAAAAACAATGCTTAATTAGAACTCTTAAATCCAAAATAACAGAATTAAAGCTAGCAAGAGACTATATGATCCAAAATTCTAAGCCACCTTAGAAAATCACAATATATTAATTCCAAAATCAATACAAATGTCATAACCACAACATTATAATTGAGATCAAACTATAAACAGCCCAATGTCAAATACTAAGCAATAATTCAGTCACAATAATCCCCAATATAATCAGATTAAGCAATACAATTATCCCAATAATCAGAAAAACTATCCTAAGACCTAGGAATTATTAAACAATTATTGAGTAGGAAATTAAAGCAACTGAAACTCCCCTTTGATGATCTAAGCTCCTGCCTTATTGTTGAATTAGAGAATTAGGAATTAGCCACGGTTTGCCATAAAATCGCTGCAATCAGTATTTTGCTACAGGATCCCATGGAAGAACACTGTTCACGCTGAATGGTTCACTTCTCTGTTTCGCTGCGTCTTCCGCCCTCAGCTCGCTGGTCTGCGTCTGCGTGTTCTCTGGTCCTTTCTCACAGCCGCGCCCAGCTCGCCTTCAGCGTCCGTGTATTCAGCTCCGTTCGGCATGCTCTGCTCTCTGTTTTTCTGCTGGTGCCGCCTGCGTCTTCCCTCAGCTCGTGCACACCTCTCGCTGTCGCACTCCTCTCTGCCACCAGGAGGATTCAGCGAAGACGAAGATGGTGGTGATGGAAGACTCCGCCTCACTCTGCTCCTGTCCTTCGCCGTCAGAGCTAACGTGTGTGTGTGTTTCGTTCTCCGCCGCCCAAAGCTTGCTCTGTTTCGTATGTGTTCGGCCTCCGTCCGTGTGTTCTTCTCTCGTTCAAGCTGAAGGTGATTATTGGATATTAGGTTGGGGGAGCAAAAACAACGTTTTGCTCCCTCTTTTTATTATACTATATATTTTTTTTGAATTATATTTTTTTTCTTTTTTTTTATTTTTTATTTTTTTTTTAAATCTTTCAAAACCCTGAAACAAAATTAAAAATAAGGTAGCATTAATTGTCCTCAAAATCAATTAATCACAATTAAACCAAATATGACAATTTTGCCCCTATAAAATAATAATTCAAAATAAAATAAAATAAATCAATTAAGGCAAAAAGGGACCAATTAAGCTGACACAAACTCATATAAAAGATAGTAAAATATATAAAAATAATTGAGTTTGTCAGCGTCGCGACAGAGCCATAAGCTGTGGCATTTTATAAAAATAGACATGTTTCTCATATAGAAGGAATGAGGAAGGGTAACTTAAAATTAACATTTTACATTATATTCACTGAAGATAAAAATAATAAAATTAAAACCGTAAGCTGTTAAAAAAAAAAAATGAAATCCAAACATAGGTTTTATCCCTGCATATTATAGCATCTTCACTACCGTTAGTACATTCCTTATTTTCTTTTTTTTCTTTTTTTTTGGCGTTAAATGGGAATATTTATTCAACCTTTTTTAACCTGAACCAGATAAGTGAGCTTGTTAGGAGCCTGTTTGGCTCAGCATTTGGAGGGTAATAATAATTACTTTTTTTTTTTTATAAGCAGAAGCATGGTTGAAAAATTTGTTTGTGTTTGGATTGGTGATAGAACAATCTGACTTTTGCATAAAAAGCTACAATAAACTATAAGTAAAAATTAGCTACCTATGATTTATAGCTTGTGACTTGTAGCTTTTGCAACATAGAGAGAGAAAAAATTA